AAAAAAAAAAAAAAAAAAAAGAAGAGTAGAACAGATCAATGAAATATGAACTGCTTCTTTGAAAGAATTAATCAGATCAATAAACCCCTGGCCAGGATTATAAAAAGAAAAGAGAAAGGACCCAAATAAATAAAATCATGAATGAAAGAGAACAACCAACACCGGAAGAAATACAAAAAATTTTTTTTTTTTTTTTTAAGATTTTATTTATTTATTTGAGAGAAAGAGAGCATAAGCAGGGGAAGGGGGCGGGAGAGAGGGAAAAGCAGACCCCCTGCCGAGCCGGGAGCCCGATGCGGGACTCGATCCCGGGACTCCAGGATCATGACCTGAGCCGAAGGCAGTCGCTTAACCAACTGAGCCACCCAGGCGCCCCGAAATACAAACAATTATAAGAACATATTATAAGCAACTATATGCCAACAAATTAGGCAATCTGGAAAAAATGGATGCATTCCTAGAGACACATAAACTACCAAAACTGAAACAGTAAGAAACAGAAAACCTAAATAGACCCATAACCAGCAAAGAAATTGAAGCAGTAGTCAAAAATATCCGACAAACAAGAGTCCAGGGCCAGATGGCTTCCCAGGGGGATTCTACCAAACATTTAAAGAAGAATGAATACCTATTCTTCTGAAGCTGTTTCAAAAAATAGAAATGGAAGGAAAACTTCCAAACTCTTTTTATGAGGCCAGCATTACCTTGATCCTAAAACCACACAAAGACCCCATCAAAAAGGAGAATTACAGACCAATATCCCTGATGAACATGGATACAAAAATTCTCACCAAGATACTAGCCAATAGGATCCAACAGTACATTAAAAGGATTATTCACCACGACTGAGTGGAATTTATTTCTGGGCTGCAAGGTTGGTTCAACATCTGGAAATCAATGAATGTGATACACAACATAAATAAAAGAAAGGACAAGAACCATATGATCCTCTCAAAAGATGCACAAAAAGCATCTGACAAAGTACAGCATCCTTTCCTGATTAAAATTTTTCACAGTGTAGGGATAGAGGGAACATACATCAATATCATAAAAGCCATGTACAAAAAGCCCACAGCAAATATCATTTTCAATGGGGAAAAACTGAGAGCTTTTCCCCTAAGGTCAGGAACATGGTAGCAATGTTCACCATCATCACTGCCCTTCAACAAAGTACTAGAAGTCCTAGCCGTAGCAGTCAGACAACAAAAAGAAATAAAAGGCATCTGAATCTGCACAGAAGTCAAACTCTCACTCTTTGCAGATGACATGATACTCTATGTGGAAAACCCAAAAGACCACCCCAAAATTGCTAGAACTCATACAGAAATTCAGCAAAGTGGCAGGATATATAATCAATGGACAAAAATCAGTTGCATTTTTATACACTAACAGTGAGACACAAGAAGGAGAAATTAAGGAGTCGATCCCATTTACAATTGTCCCCAAAAACTATAAGATACCTAGGAATAAGAGGCAAAGGATCTGTACTCAGAAAACTATAGAACACTCATGAAATTGAGGAAGACACAAAGAAATGTGAAAACGTTCCATCCTCATAGATTGGAAGAACAAATATTGTTAAAATGTCTATGCTACCGGGGTGCCTGGGTGGCTCAGTCGTTAAGCATCTGCCTTTGGCTCAGGTCATAATCCCAGGGTCCTGGGATCGAGCCCCACATCGGGCTCCCTGCTCCGCGGGAAGTCTGCTTCTCCCTCTCCCACTCCCCCTGCTTGTGTTCCCTCTCTCGCTGTGTCTCTCTCTGTCAAATAAATAAATAAAAATAAAATAAAATAAAATAAAAATGTCTATGCTACCTAGAGCAATCTATACATTCAATGCAATCCCTATCAAAATACCATGAACTTTTTTCAAACAAATGGAATAAATAATCCTAAAATTTGTATGGAACCAGAAAAGACCCCGAATAGCCAAAGGAATGTTGAAAAAGAAAACCAAAGCTGGTGGCATCACAAACCTGGACTTCAAGCTATATTACAAAGCTGTAATCGGGGGCGCCTATATGGCTCAGTCAGTTAAGCATCTGCCTTTGGCTCAGGTCATGATCCCAGAGTCCTGGGATCAAGCCCAGCATGGGGGGGCTGGAGTCCCCGCTCAGCGGGGAGTCTGCTTCTCCCTCTTCCTTTGCCCCTCCCCACAACTTGTGCGTGCGCTCACTTGCTCTCTCTCTCTCTCTCCCCCCTCTCCCTCAATAAAATAAATAAAATCTTAAAAAAAAAAAAGCTGTAATCATCAATACAGTATGGTACTGGCACAAAAACAGACACATAGACCAATGGAACAGAACAGAGAATCCAGAAATGGACCCTCAACTCTATGGTCAAATAACCTTCAGCAAAGCAGGAAAGAATATCCAATGGAAAAAAAGACAGTCTCTTCAACAAATGGTGTTGGGAAAACTGGACAGCCACATGCAGAATGAAACTGGACCATTTTCTTACACCACACACAAAAATAGACTCAAAAAGGATGAAAGACCTAAATGTGAGACAGGAATCCATCAAAATCCTAGAGAACACAGGCAGCAACCTCTGTGACCTCGGCTTCAGCAACTTCTTGTTGCTTTAAAGATACATCTTCAAAGGCAAACGCAAGGGAAACAAAAGCAAAAATCAACTATTGGGACTTTCTCAAGATAAAAAGCGTTTGGACAGCAAAGGAAACAGTCGACAAAACCAAGACAACCAACAGAATGAGAGAAGATATTTGCAAATATCTTATCAGAAAAAAGGCTAGTAGCCAAAATCTGTAAAGAACTTATCAAACTCAGCACCCAAAGAACAAATAATCCAATCAAGAAATGGGCTGAAGACACTGAACAGACATTTCTCCAAAGACATACAAATGGTAACTGGGTGATGGGCATTAAGGAGGGCACATCAGAGCATGATCATTATCCTGAGTCATGAATGTTACACCTCTTAGATATCAGGTACTAGTAAAGAAACAGTTTTAAAATTGGGGGGAAAATAAAGTGCCCACTGAGGTCCCAGCATATGTATGAACGAAATCTATACACAGGAACATCATTTTGAAAAACTTCAGAACAGTACTATGGGACAAAGATCTCACAAACTTCCAAAAAATAAGTCACATATAAAGAATAAAGAATCACAACAGCATTAGATTCTCAAAAAGAACACTGGAAGCCAAGGAGGGAAAAAAAAGAAAAAAAGACTTTAAAAATCTAACGAAAACTATTTACAAACTAGGATTCTATACTCAGTCAAATTATCAATTAAGCATGAGGGTAGGGGGAATAAAAAGATCTTTTCAGATATGCCAGGAGTCAAAACTTTGACCTCTCTTATACCTCTCTGAGGAAACGACAAGGATCTGTTCCCCTAAAATGTGGGAGTCACCAATAAAGAGGAAGCTACAGGATTCTAGGGGATGGGAGATCCAAAAGAAGAGAGGTAAAGGGAGTTCCAGGATGACTGTGGAGTAAGATCCCAAATAATTCATCACCACAAGCCTAGAGAAGAAATAGTCCAAACCAGAGCAGATCAGAAGGCTCTAGGAAAAAAAAAAAAAAAAAAAGAAGGCTCTAGGAAAGATTTCAAGATAAAGAATGTGATGAAATAGCTAATATGTCTGAATATACTGGGAGGAGACTTAAACAACTGTGGGGAGTCAGGGTAGAAAACTAGGCAAAGAAACAAAAATCAGTATTTACTAATTCTAGAGGGGAAAATAAAGTTGTACATGAAAGGAAAAGTAATAGTGTACAATAAAGCTCAGTAATGAATACCATTAACACAGTCATAACAACGCAAACACTGCATATTGTTCTAACAAAATTATATTGGGAAAATGGCAGGACTAGAAGGACATGTATGTGAAATCAGCCTGGGGTGGGTGGGATGCAATTTTGGGTAAAAAAGAAAGCTGAACCCTCACCTTGCACAGTGGGAAGTTAAGAGATAACTCCTATAATTGGAAAAATCAAGAAGAACCTCATAGAGCATATTATTTAGAGATATGGAGGTAATCACCAAGTAAATCAGATTAAATAATTTTAAATGGCTGGCTTTAAGGAATGGGAAATTTAAGGACTGTTGGAGGTGGGAAGAACTGCCCTTTTTTATTATCAGACTCATAACACATTTTGATTCTTTAAATACATGTATAACTTAAAAAAAAAACAAAATGCTGAAATAGAGAAAATGCCCACACACTCATATACGAAGTGTTCTACCTCTCCTTTCTCTCTTTTTTCTAAGTGTTGAAGGCAAGAGAGAACATGGCATGCATACAAAACTTAAAACAAGCAGGAAGGGGCACCTGGGTGGCTCAGTTGGTTAAGCATCTGCCTTCGGCTCAGGGTCCTGGGATCAAGTCCTGTGTCAGGGTCCCTGCTCAGCGGGGAGTCTGCTTCTCCCTCTCCCTTTGCCCCTCCCCCCAACCCCACCCCCACTCATGCATGCTCTCTCTCTCTCAAATAAACAAAATCTAAAAAAGTAAAAAACAAAAACAAACAAAACCACAGCAGGAACCCATGATGTGAAAGGGAGAATAGCAATAAACAATATTGGAGATAAAGGCAAATGCTGCTTCTTAGGAATTGATAGATGTTATATAATTGATGGTATACATTGGCACAGATAAATGTAAATATGAACTAGGTATTATTATAATGCAATTATAATTGTGTATAAAAACGTCATTTGTTTAGAGATACGTATGGAAATATCTAGCAGTGAAATGTCACAATTTCTACAATTTAACTGGTCTTCAAAAATTAGACAAATTTTTTAACAATTTTTAACAACTGTTAAATCTAGGCAACAGATATATGGGTATTTATCACATTGTTTCTGTTTTTCAGTACATTTGAAATTTTTCGCAATAAAAAGTCAAGAAAAATTTGCTTTGGAAAGACCTATACATGAAGTAACGAGTTGGATTTCCTTCCATAACTATCTTGAAATGGGGACAGGTTGAAGAGGAGAAAACCAGGACAAGTCTATGATTATCTTACCATATCCTGCCATAGAAGCGCCATTCTCAACATCCGAGTTCTTATTTTCCTCTGCTAGAGCTTTAACATATCTTTTGCTTAAGTCTAGTATTTGTTCACGTAACTTGACACTGCTTTGATGTCTTGGTTGTTGAAAAGTATAGTGCAGTAACATCAATCCCCAAATGAGTCCAAATACAAGCAACAGTAAACTCAATTTCTGGGACATGGTTTTTCTTGAGATTGTAAAAATCATTTCTGATGAAGTAAATACACTCCACTGAAGGGTAGTGACTAGATGTAAGCCACCAAGCAACCAAGACTTTTGAAAGAAAAAAGAAAAAAAATCTCCTCTAATACTGTATATTCTTCATCTTCAGCAAGGTTGCCTCCCACTCTCAATTAACTCTGTAAAATTGAGAAGAGAAAAGGGGATTAGTCTTAAGCTATACCATTAACAGACTAGACAATGACAAACTTAAGAGATTCTATAAATCGTTGTGATTTGAAACTGTATCATCTTCTTTGACAACTTTCTCTCCACCATGACTAAAGCTTCCAGGTTTCATTTACATTGCTCTTCAAAAATTTAAACCGGACATAAATGTCAATTAACTGAAATGCCACCATGGTCACAAAATTCTCTGAATGACTTCTTGTCATTAGTAACTAAAACTATGGACATATAGTAAGATTTATAGGAGACTATCCAAATATAGTTTTCCAAACTAAATGTCTAAAACCTATTCCTCCTCTTCCTTTAAAAAAAAAAAAGGCAGATGCCAAAGTGAAAGTGAGAAAATGAGGAAAGGTGAAACAGACTAGAAAGTCATTAAATGCCTGATCAGAAAAAAAAAAAATCCCACAATTAAATAAGTGTGACAGTATTTGAAAATGTCACTAGAAAATATTGCTAATGGCAACAAGATCGTCTTAAGCATCCAACGTAAGATGAAAAATAAGTTACAAACTCTTAAGTTTATACTTCTAAATTTATGCCAGACATAATGAGAAGTGCTAAAACAGTTTAGAAAATTTTGCTGTATTTCCAAATCTGCAATTCCAAATTTTAAATGATACAGGAATGTACTTTTATAATTTAAGGGAAAATTATATAAGGAAAAAAAGATTATACTTCAATTAAAAAAAAGATAAAGGTGATGACAATCATGGAATCTAGAAAGACCTGGAAAATAATAATGTATATGAATCACCAAAGTGTCCAGTGAAGAAAACTCTTCAATTATACCTAGTGGAGTAAAATTCTTTACATGGAAATACATCTAGAGTCAAGAAGTATATTTCACAGCTTAATGAAAATAATCCTTAAGAACTTTTTAACTTCCTGCAGTATGGGCAAATAAAACATACCGATTTTAATCCGCTTAATAGGGTATAATCACATAGCCAAACTAATAAAATCAAGTTTGAGAATAAGTCTAAAAATGAATACAGTAAAGGCTAACTCTGCAGAGCATTTAATCACTTTCCCTAGTGCTAGACACTAGGGAAATTATGGTTCTGCCCTAAAAGTTTGCTTTCTAAAAGCACAGATGCTTTTAAATCTTTTTTAAATAATAAAAAATGAAGAGTATCTGTTATAATCTTATGTAAAAACAATCAAAATACAAAACTTTGTAATCAAAACTTCTCTAGATGTGTGTATGTTGAGATATGTGTAAGCAGGGGATCTTCTACCCTGGCAATTCACCTGTCCAGTTCAGAAAATTCCCACTCTTTCTTCCTCCTACCCGGCCCCCCAGTCCCTGATACACTGCTAATAAATTCTGGGCCTCCAAGGTTTGAAGAACACCCATCTTCTCTTGTTGAAGTGTACCCATCCTGCGAAACCTCACTATAAGCATGATTACCCCACTAACTGGGCATATTAATTACTATAGCAAAATAATAACTGCATTAAAAATTAAGAATTAACTCCTTTTCAAATTTTCTTCTACTTCTCCTTATTTACTTACCATACTAAAAAATAAATCTCTTCGGATCTTATTGAAACTCTACTATTAATATCAATACTGGATTACTAAACTTTACTTAACAAAGTCAAGTAAATGACCCTAATATTTTTTCTACAGATTTTACATTTGAGTTCAGAAAGTGCAAGTTCTGGGGCGCCTGGGTGGCTCAGTCGTTAAGCGTCTGCCTTCGGCTCAGGTCATGATCCCAGGGTCCTGGGATCGAG